TTGAAATGCTACTTGACCCGTACCAGTCCATCCCATAGCCATCAGTACCATCTGCACCGCTAGCGCCAGATGGCCACTCTAAGGAGCCAAACCTTGCAGCCGACACTGCCGACTCAGTGCATGCGATGTTTGCCACTCCCGCCATGCCTAGATGTGATGATGATGAGAATCAGTTGGCTGACCCTGAGGGAGATGATGTTTCTAGGGACACTGAGATGTCTAAGGATCCTTAGGGAGTTTTTCTTCACCCTCTCTCCTTTCACTCTTATTTTGCTAAGCATTGGGAACAATGCTTACTTTTATTCGGGAGAGGGGGGGTGGAGTTTATTTGATATATTACCACACTTTGTATACATTTGGTCTGCAATAATTTGATGATTCTCTCTCCTTTCTTATTTGTATTTACCTGTCTTTAATAGTTACTGTTCATTAGCTTCTTTATTGTTTCCATTTTAGTTTTTTTTCGGTTAAGTAGCTTCTTTTTTATGCTTTCGTAGATAATAAGCCTTTGGTTTTCTTAACGCCATGGTTCTTTCCAAGGTAGTTATTTGTGTGAACCGGGTGACTTGTCCCGACGATGGTTATCGTGACAACCTTCTTAAGGAAATGAGTATATTTTTGTGTTTATGTAATAATAGTGGTAGTAATAAATAAAAAGACCTAATCAAGTCATTCTTGAAGAGTTGGTACCAACACACTTAACCATGTGCTTATGATTAGAGATAAGGTTTTTGAAAAAAATAGCTCTAGTTAGTGACTTTGTGACTCTTGAGTTGACTTTGGTGATCATCGTGTGGTTTATTAGACCATAGTGATCTTTAAACTTGAATGTGGTCGTTGTAGGCTCTCGAATTTATCCTCTTTTACAATCTAGTTGCGTGAGGGGTGAGATAAATTATTGCTAGTCCAAGTATCCGTGTGGATGGTCTAAAACTTGCCCCGAATGTGTTTCAAGGCGAAATCTTGTGTATTTATACCCTATAAGAACGGGTGATGGACGAAACTACTCTTGGCAAGCCGAAGTGGAAAAATTGGACTATCATAATGGTGTGCTGCGCTTGCCTCTGCACTGCCTCGCCGCGCCATGCGACACCCCATGCAGCGCGGTAGTGCAATTTTCTTTATTCTAGAATGTTTTTACATTTTTAACTTTTAGACTTAGTTCTTGAACTCCGAACACAATTCCGATTTAATTCTTTGGGTTTCTACTCAGATTTCAAAGCTCCAAATCATCCATTTTAGCTCTAAAATTGCTTCTGAACTTAGAATCACATCCTACACAACAAAATTCACATAATAAGTATAAACACTTACATTGAGTACGAAATATAGTTAAAAATATGAGTTTCTAGCCTACTATTAACACCCCACACTTAGACTATTGCCCGTCCTTAAGCAATACAAACTACACTTAGCAGAAACAACTACCTTTCCAAACAGCTCTCTTAACTCGTCACGCCAAGAATATTTAAATCGAGCACCATATCATCATATCCTAGACTCAAGACTAGCCTCAAAAATATTAATTATTTTTAAAACTATCTCACTTACTCTAATAAAGAAGCCAAAGACATCACCTTTTCCTCACAAGTCATGTGTTTGTCATAACAAACAGTAGAGAGTAGTCTCATACACATAAAATTCAAGAACAAATAGGGTCTCTAAATAGAAAGAATTTACTCACACTAAAAAATTAAATTTATGTGCCATAACAGATGTACTATAGGATTACCCATGATGTAATACTCTACTAATTCGAGCTCACTTAGTCAAGGATCAAGTAGGACTTAATTTTTGTTATAATGTAGGTTGCGGGGACAACTAGGATACAATTTGGATAAAAGTGACTACACCTCCCTAAGCATTTTTAATATATACAACTTTAAAATTCAAACTCCATATTTGTGTTGAATAAAACATTTCCTACCTTGAAAGTACTAACATCAAGTTCTCATTTTATTAAAGCACAAAATATATATGAGAGTTACCACTAAGAAGGAATGATTTTTTTCACAAAACATATAAAAACCCAAAATTTCTTTTTCTTTTCCACTTTTATTTTTCTTTCTGACTTCCTATTTTTTATATGGTTTTTTTTTCTTTTGGATTCCCTACAAGTGACTAACACAATTATTTTAAAATATTGCACCTTTTTTTTTTTTATAGTTCCACTTAAAACCCAATCGGATCTCCACTTAGCTTTTAACAAGCTCATAATAATTTCAAGTGCTCAAGAGAGGAAAAATGGTTCAAACAGATGGTCAATTCAAATAAAGATGTCAGAATTATAGTGTGGTTGCCAAAGAAATAGGATTATAGGCTCACCAGGGCTAACAGAGATACACAATATTTGGTGGATAAACATACATATATCTTGTTCAACAAGAAAATACTTCTATCAAATCCTAAACTGAACAAGACTATAATTTTGCTTTGCACACACTGAGAGAAAGTTCTAGAAATCGAATGACATGCACAAAATATCAACAAATATCTCACACAGACACATTGGCACACAACTCACTTAGGACGCATCTATTCCGACTCTCTAGTCAAAGTAGTTAGCAAAATCTATCATTTTAAGGTACTTAAACACGAGTCAAAAAGTGAGCCTAGATATCACAACTAAGTCACTCACTGCTCTAAAGGCACAACAAAGTCAAGAAAATTGCCTCTAATTATCACTACCGTATACAATTCTTTATTCCTACTAAAAGAAAACTAACTACATATGGTTCAAGCAAAAATTCTTAAAAAAGAACTGTGATACAATGAAAACCCAAGAGAAAGTTATTACACTGCCTAAAAACATAAACCAAATTGAAAGACATATTTTTGGAATTTCAAATTCCATTTTTTGAATTTTTTTTACTTTAATCCCTGAAGCTAATGGTCGAGGAAATCCATTATTGGGTAAAGTTATATCAAACTGCTACATGAATTACTAGTTATTACAGGCCAGGCAGAATTCAGAGTTGAGATTATGGGCCATAATGTCTAATAAAGAATGAAACAAATCAATTAAAGCCAAATGGAAAAGAGAAACAAAGAAAATAAGAGCACCCCACCCCACACTTAAGAAATTGCATTGTCCCTAATGCAAAGCAATAAAACAATGGTGATAAAATGATTCCGTGAAGCACTAGGCCTAATCATCAGGACCCTTAAAGGTGTGAAGGTACTCCTCATCATTAGAAGGCTCGGAGTTAACATCCTCATCCGGTGGCAGTCCACCTCCCCCGGCCATACCTAACCACTGCTATGAGATAGCAGAAAAGGGGAGGTCAAGTTGTAGCTCAACCAAGTCAACCTCTCCACTTTTAGCTGAGTGCGCATATCAACAAACATCAATTGGAGTGTCTCCCCGACTCGAATCATCCACTGATCCATAGTATCCACCGCCATAGGATGATTAATCACTAAAGTAATAACAAACAACTTGATAGGATGCGGGTCCGGAGTCACCCGATCATAGTGAAAATCCTCTGGCACATGGTGCATCCTCAGTAGCCGAGTGATCATGCTCGGATAAAGCAATCGTTATGCCCTAAAAGGTCGTATCCTAGCCATATGCTCAAGCATGATCTTACCCATCTAAAACTCCATCCTAGTTAAGAAGGCATAAATTGAACAAGCCTTCACCCTAGACACATCAGTCTCACTGGTAGTAGGCATGATTAGCTACAAAATTTACCCTATAAAGATGATGCTTAATATCCTAACAAGCTGGTCTCGGAGAAACCTCTGGAATGTTTTATGGGAACACTGAGTGGATCCCATCACCATGTTGATTGCATGCGAAGAAAAGGGAATCGTCTTAGCCCTTACCTCTACCTCATACACAACATCCACATTCACCTCCGTCTACTAGTTGGCGTAAAATTCTCTAACCATATTGACATTCACATCATCTCCGGGACGGAACAAACACTCCAAGCCCATAGCCCTTATATTTAGATATAGCACTAAATATTTAAGAGCTAAATCAATGGTGAGCATGTACAAGACCACCCTAATGCCAATTGACACTCAGGGACCACGTCCGCCTCATGATCAATTTTCTCTATCTCCACCTCCACTAGAGCTTCGTGTTCGTCTTGCCTGCTCCCTCTACAACTACTGGAGGCTACTCCGGAGGATCTAATGTTAGCACGCTTTCTTTCCCAGCAAGATATTGTACATGCATAAGACGAACACTATTAGCCACAACACATAGAATAAAATACAAAACCAATGGGGTTAACAACCCACACTTATGTATTTGGCATGTTCATAGGCAACAATGTATATAGGGGACTTAGACTACCCATATATCCAACAAGCAAGTCATCACCAAACCATCAAACCTTCCTCAATTCTAGTATAGCAACACCACCAGTTACAAAAAAGAAAATCAAGGTGCTATACTAACGGCTGAACTAAAAAATATAAAATCAAGAAGTTAACTAAACTAGCTACTAAAAGCAAAAAGAAAAAAGTTAAACTCCAAACACTACACAAGTATATGGCATGAACCGAATGAGTCAAATAGAATTAGAATCACAACAGCATGAGGGGGCCAACACTCGAAATTGTAAGTTTTAGGACATGATTGTCCACCCTACACGTCGAATCACACACCATCTATACACAAAGCAAGAAACATCAATAACTTATTTCAAAAGCCAAAATAATATCATTGAGGCAAAAACATGTAGCGTGCACTATGTCAAGGCCAAATTTGAAGCTCAATTTTCACTTGAATCGCATCATATAGCACACACCACCAAAATTTATAAAAAGAATTTCAAACACCGCTCACATTAACAAAAAATCATCCATAAGCACAACAGCTAATCAAATCCCACAATAATGAAGTATAATTTCGGCCAAATTAAGAGAAACATACAAAAAATCTACAAAATAAAACCTTCATAGGGTTTTGATGAACTACACTAAATTAAACTAAGTACACAAACAGATTCCAAGATAGAGTGGAGCGATGAAAGAAGAAAACTTACCTTGAAGCTTGAGGGAGATGGGGGGATGGAGTCGACAAAGAATTAAGGAGGGCTGGAGAAAGCTTTGGAAGTTAGAGTAGAAAGAGAGAAATAGAGCTTGAGAGAATGGGAGAAAGGGGTCAAGGTGATTAAGACAGATTGGGAAAAAAGGGTCTGGAAGGGGGTGGTTTCAAAACTAGGGAAATAAACCTTTTTTAAAAAATTAGGCTGAAAACTATCCTACCGGGCTGTGGGGTTGAGGCTCCCCATGTGCCGCGGTAGTGGGGAAGTTCGGAGACATAAGAAAAATATCAAAGTTACCCATTTTTCCTAGTGCGGCACGAGGCGATATGCCTCACACGGCGTACAAGGCCAATTTTCTTAGTTTCGCACTTTTATGTTTTTTTGCCTACTAGGTTGCTCCCTGTCACGATCCTAAATCCAACTAGTCGTGATGGTTTATTTATCAGGTAAGATAAATAACAATTATCCAATTTAATAAGATTTATTTAGAAAAGAAATGATAATACAACTGCTTTGATATAAGAATTTCCCAAGGACTAGTTGTACAGATCATGAACTTTTAAGATATAGAGTTTACAAAGCTGGTTTAAAATAAAATACACCATCTGTTTGAAATATACATAAATAGATCTGAAATACTAAAGCTACCAAGATCAACAGGCAGCTATGACTGGGACGCAGGTACATCTTCAGATTCATCTCCCGCCGTACGCAGCTACACCAGCATCCAACATCTGCACGCAAGGTGCAGAAGTTTAGTATGAGTACAACCAACCCCATTTACTCAATAAGTAAGAAACTTAACCTTTAGTTGAAAGTAGTGACAAGTTGGGACACGGGTCAGAGTCCAATTCCAATAACCAGCAATAGTTCATAACATTAAAATAAAGATGGTACAAAAAATAACTCAGCTAGTTCACAATTACAGAAAATAAGCATGCTTTTCAAGTATAACAGCAGATCCCAGACCTTTCATCGAAAATCTCAAAAATATATAAATATGTTTGACAACTGTGGTTTTCCCAAAAAAAACCTTTCAACAATAACAAGATGTTTTATTTTCAGATAGCACGAGGAAAATACATCTCTATGCCTATATGTCAATATACAGGTGAAATCATAAATGTCACCAAAACTAGGTAGCATGAATAAATTCATCTCTATGTCTATATCTCAAGTACGCATGTCAAATGCTACGCATCTCAATGAGGAACTCGTGTACTCACACTCTCAGGGTACTCAATCTCACTGTCTCGTATTCTCACTCATCATACTCAATACTCAGCACACTCAGTCACTCAGCATTGTACAAGGTAGATCTAGCCCAAATATAAATGACAACTCGCGCACAGTCACTCAGTAATGTATATAACCAATCCAGCCCAGAGAAGATCCATCCCAAATATCTATATATGATAACTGACATGCAGTCACTCAGCACTGTATAGGGTTAATCTAGCCCAGGGAAGATCCATCCCTCAATATTAATAATTAGACAAGATCCATGCCTAGGAAAGATCCATCCCTCAGTATAATAATAACTGCGCTCACTGTGGGTGTGCAGACTCCGGAGGGGCTCCTTCAGCCCAAGCGCTATAATAAGTCAAATTCTGATATTGCAAGCTTGTTAGTGCAAACCTATTTTGTGGACCAAGTGTGACCACACATTTTTTTTCGTGGACTGTACCTTTTCCTAGAGTTCCAGAAGCTTCTGTTCTCCTTGTACAACCGTATTTTTTCTTTTGCAGACCATGGTTACTTTTGCGGCCGTAGTTATAATTCTGCAGACCACACTTTTCTCCACACTTCTCCTCTTCATTGAGTTTGGCTAGAACATCTTCTTTTGGAGTCTTATTCCTTCATTGAATTTCTACTTTCCAGCACACCTGCAATTCAACTATTTTCATTAGATTAGGGGACAAAATTAGTACTTTTGGACTAGTAAACTATAGCAAAGAAGGCACTAATAAGTGGTTAAAATCCACACTTATCAACTCCCCCAAACTTAAGTCTTTGAATGTCCTCAAACAACTAGATTAACACCCTTATTCTCACTCTATGGTCATTTAAAGGAATCACCCACAAGTCATTCATGCTAAGTTAGAACCAACAATTATCCACAATGCACATGCATTTTAGATAGGTGTCAAAATTTTTAAAAAGGTACAACTTGCTCATCTCATGTAATTCTAGTATGACATTTGAGCCTCAAGGGTAAACTTCATTCATCACGGATTTTTGTACTTTCATGCAAATCATGGTGGACTTTAGTGTCTTCCTCTTCTACCTTCCATTTGAATTGCTCGCTTTAAGATCCAACACTCAATTTCTAGTGCATCAACGGTTTTACTCTTCACAATTTTAAGAAACTTTCTTATAATTAGTGAGATGTTACATACCATCAAGTTTGCTTCATGTTTCTGCAGGGTGAATTCATGTATGCCTTTCAAATTTAATTGAACCTCTTATGTAAAGAGAGTGGGTTCAGCAAGCAAAATAATTTCAAACCAAATGGAGATAACGTTGGAGCAAAACAATTCCAAACCAAATAGAGATAACGTTGGAGCAAAACAACTCCAGACCAAATAGAGATAACGTTGGTTGTTGATTCTGTAAAGCGAGAATTGCAAATTCTAGGAGAATTGGTTCAGGTATGTTAAGGCTATCCCTTCTTTCCTTTTGGCATGATCCAAATGATAAAAATAAAACGAGCAAAATACGCAACTTTCATAAATGACTTTATTTATAGAAATACTAGGGGTCTCTATATGCTTGATTCCCCATGTGAATTATTATTATATCTTCTGTTCATGGGTCTCAGAAAAATACGTAACTGATAAAGTTTATCCGATAGGCATATTATTTTTATGACATTCCGAAAAAGTCTTATTAACGTAATTCTTATGCATTTCATGGATTTATACATCTACATTGACCCATGATCAGATGGTATTATATACACGTATATTATATGTATATGGGATATAGAAAAAGGTTACGTTGTTATATACGCACCACCACCTGATCAGCTGGTATACATTGATGATTTGCCCATAGTGGCCGAGATGATATGATGGGATACCCTCAAATGCTTGATGATGTTATGAACACATGTATTTATGCACGACATGACATTCATACGCATATGCATGACACTATAAGTATTTCATGATTTACAGAGTTACTAAGACTTACATATCGAGTCGTTTACTCTATGTTTCTCTCATGTCTATTATTTACTGATTTTCATTCCTTACATACTTGGTACATTATTTGTACTGACGTCCCTTTTTCCTGGGGATACTGCATTTCATGCCCGCAGGTCCCGATAAACTGGTCGATAGTCCTCCAAGTAGGCTATCAGCTCAGCAGAAGGTGTTGGTGCGCTCTGTTTGCTCCGGAGTTGCTTATTTGGTCAGTTTGATTTAGACGCGTATTGTTTGGCATGGCAGGGCTCTGTCCCGACCTTTATGATAATTATGTATGCTTAGAGGCTTGTAGAAAAATGTCACGTACGTAAAAGATTGTATGGCCTTGTCGGCCTATGTTCAGTCTACGAGTGGTTATTTGTGTCTTATAGGCCCGTATGTCTTATGTATAAGTTGGTATTTTATGTTGTATTATACTTATCTCATGGCAGCCTCTCCGGCTCAGCTATCTATGATAGTATGATACGAAAATATACGTTGTGTTGGTACTTGGTTGAGTAAGGTACCGGGTGCCCGTCGCGGCCCATCGGTTTGGGTTGTGACAGAAGGAATGTTCGGTAGCAGCCCAAGCTATACAGCTTCAAACATTATCTCAAATTCTCCCACATAAATCTTCACTACCTTGCCGTCAAATTGGAAATTTCCTTAAAACTAAACCACTGCAGGCACACATATAAGGGGAAAGGGTCTAACAAACATATGTGTCCATCCCTGAAAGTCAAGCTTTTTCACCAACTAGGCCATGTCTTTTTCATCAATATTGGCAAGTGTCTTCCTATTCAGCACTTTTCTGTTCTGGAACTCAGTCAACATGTCAACAATATCAAACACAACCCTTTTCTTCTTCCCTTTACTAGTCTTCTGAGATGTGGTAATTGCCTTGGTGGGTTTAGCAACAGTCTTCTTCACTGGTGCTTTCTTGGCCTTTAGAGAAGGACTAGGTATATCCTCCTCATCCAACTTAACTACAGTTTCAGAAACAAGAATTTTGTTCTTCTTTTATTGGCACTCTTACACTCCTTCATTATTTGTTCATTAACATCTTTTCTTTTGATCCTACACTTACTCTCTTGTCTGTGGAAGTGGTCTTGTAGGTTTTATAGAGGCCTTCCTGTCATTTTTCCCTACCTAAGATAAAGGCAAATCATACTCATCACTATAAACCTCCTCATTTCCAACAAAAGAAGTTAAAGATGGCCTAGGTTATTTTGATCCTCCCTCTTTATGAGCTTCTTCTAAAGGGGCCATGACAATATTCCTAATAGCCATAAAGCCTTCAGATTCATCACTCGCAATTTCCTCTTCAATTTCAGATTCAGTACCCTCATTTTCACTTTATTTTTCATCTTTATTACCCTCACCCTCAGAGTCACATTCTCCATCACTTTCGTTTTCTTCTTCTTCAGAATCTCCCAGTTGGTCACCTACTTGATCTTCTACATGATCTTCTCTTTCTTCACCTAATTCCCAATCATTCTCACTTTTCTATTCAGCAGTTTCTCCTCCTTATTTTCTTCTCCTTCCCTATCCCTAATAACTTCTTCATCATCCTCATCTTCAGTCCAACTGTAAGAAATTCCATCAGAACCCTATTTATCACCTGTTTCTTTCTCCCTTTCCCCCTCAACCATAGGTAGGTCATCAATTGTTTCCAAGTTTTTGTCCTGAGTCACTACTTCGTTCTCTACAACAATAGTCTCTATATGTGGTGTGTCACTTAGGGGTGCAACAACTTCCAACAGGGAAACTTCAATTGCATAGATTATAACATCAAGCTTAGATGGATGAGGTTTTACCTGATCATCCTTGATGAGTGCAGATTCCCCCTGAGTATGGGCCTCCTTAACTTTTGGTTCCCCTTTAGCAGTAGCACGATCCACTACTTTGCCACTCTTTACTGATTTCCTTGAAGTAGCCTTGACTTTAGTGGTTTGGAGGTGATTTGTGAGATGAAAACATGTGCGTGGGAAGTTTTGTTTGGAGATGGAGGTACAGTAGAGGTAGAAATTACAGGCGTAACTACAACAGAAAACCATTTATTGAAATTTCGT